AACACCTGATTGTTCTGTAAATAGTTTGAAATGTTTATTTAAAAAAACGCCTTGGCTGCATTTTTAGGTAAACAGCTGCAAAAAACTTGCAAAACTCAGTTACTTTTTTTGAAGAAGTAACTATATAATTAAATTGCCCAACATTGGTCATTATATACTGTATTTTGCAGACAGCGAGTTACAGGACTCTCTCCCAGACTGCTGCTGTTGCTCACAGTGGTCCAAGGGACCGCTCAGGGAATTTGTGTGTTCGCTCAGACACATGAAAAATTAGAGGGAACATTGCCCTATGGGCTCAGCTGCTGACTTTGAAATTCCTCCCGGCGGCGCCCCTGTCAGGCAAACAGTGAAACACGGTGGCATGTGGCATGTGGCACAGTGGCCCGGACCCCTTAGCCCTCTGTTGTAAAAACCTGTATCACATCACATGGCCCTTCCAGTCAAGCTGGTGCTAATCAGCCCAAGATCCATATCTAATAAAACTTTAATTCTAAATAACTTTATGTCCAGCTCCCATTTGGATTTCCTGTTTGTGGTAATGAAGTGCATGAAGTGTTTTACCATGCCATTATATGATGCAACTGGGACTATTTAATACACAGGATTTAAAGCCACTTTGTGAATCGCTACCTTATCATGGTCAACGGGTTTGTGTGTCCCAGGAGCCAGGCCCAGGGAGGGTGGCAAGGGCAAGTGGGCCTTAATCCATGGGGCCTGGCTCGGCAGTCTGAAAAGGGGACATGGGACCACCCTCCTATAGGCCCACCACCCACAGGAGGAGCCAAAAGATTTGGGTGCAATGTGTGCTGGGCACTGGCCAGGGGCAGAGACCCTGGCTGACTGATCTCCCAGCTATTGAAATTAGCAACTGGGACATGGGATATCACCTCTCGGGAACCAAACTCCTGGAGAGGGGCTGGACTGTCTCAATCTGGAGTTACCCTTGGTGAGAGGCAGCGGGCTGGGGTGGGTATCCTACACCCAACATACAGGCTTGCTGCCTGCCCAGTGGACGAGAGGGTTTATTGTCGGGTTAGTTGAAGAATGGGTCCTGACTGTTGTCTGCATTTATGTGCTCAAAGATGGTTAAGAGTACCTGGCCTGTGCTTAAGGGTGCTCCACCTGGGGACTCTGTTGTCCTACTGGGAGACTTCAACACTCATGTGGGCAACGACAGTTGTTCTGGACAGTCGGGTGAAGAGAGTTGCTGAGCTGTCAACTGATCACCATTTAAGTGGATAAGGTGGCGGTGGAAGATACTGGATAGACCTGGTGTGCCTAAACATATAGTGAGGGTGTGCTGGGAACGCCTTGGCAGAGGCCCCGGTCGATGAGATCTTCACCTCCCATGTTTTTGGGGTGGCTGTAGCTCAGGAGGTAGAGCAGGTCACCTACTGATTGGAAGGTTGGTGGTTCAATTCCTGGCTCCTCCAGTCTGCATGCCAAGTATCCTTGGGCAAGATACTAACCCCAAGTTGCTCTACGATGCATCCATCGGAGTGTGAATGTGGTTAGACAGCACTAAGTTTAGAGAAAGTGTGTGGGTGTGACTGTGGCATGTTGTATTATGTATGTAAGAATCAGTCCATGTTTATCATTTACCATGTCCGGCCAATCTCAACTGCACTGAGTTGCGGTCGCAAGGTGATTGGGGCCTGTCATGGTGGTAACTCCCAACCAGATAGTGGGAACCACAGGTGAAGGGAACCCTAGAAGGAGTCCTATCAGGCTTGGTAAGCCTGTGGGACTTGGGAGGCAGCCAATACGTACCAACAGGCTAAGTGGGACGCGGCTCGGACAGTGGCTGAAGCAAAACGTGAGTGTGGGGGAAGTATGGAGAGGCCATGGAAAAACACCTTTGCACTGCCTTGAAGTGATTCTGGCAAACCATCAGGCGACTCAGAAAAGGAAAGTGGTGATGTACCTGCACTGTATAAATTGCGGTTGGAATGCTGCTGACTTTGATTGAGGACATTGTTAGGTGGTGGAAGGAATACTTCAAGGACCTCCTTAATCCCTCTGACATGT